CCTAGATCTTCTCTATTAAAAAGAAAAAAAGTAATAGCATATTTAGGCAACTTCAGATATTACTTACTGGAGGATGACTTTAACACATTGTTTTTATGGTGGTATCTCCCTTAGGAGGCATGTAATAAAGACTCTATTTTTTAATTTTTTGTTTATTTATTTATTTATTGATAGAGACAGAGAAGGAGAGAGAGAATCCCATATAGGCTCCACATTGTCACCACATAGCATGACAAGGAGCTCAAACTCACAAGCTGTGAGATCATGACCTGAGCCAAAATCAAGAGTAAGATGCTTAACTGACTCAAGCCACCCAGGTGCCTCAAGACTCTTATATTGACAAGGTGCAAGAGGAGACTGAACATACGAGAAAATACTGCACATGTTGGGGTATAACAGAGGCTCTAAGACATCACTCAAGAGGAAATTTGCTTGCTTTATATAGTTTCACATTTTTAAAATACATTTGATTATAGAACTCGTTTTTGTAGAAAACATTTTGGAAGATACTAACTTTATAAGTAGCACATTTGGGAATTGAAACTATCATTGTTAATAGCCCTTTATTGCAGTGATTCGCAAACTTTAATATGCATATGAATCTCTTTGGAAGCTTGTTAGAATGCCGCCGATTCTGCTTTAGCTTTGTTGGAGGTGGGAATGAGATTTTCCTTTTCTAACCAGGTCCCCGATGATGTCGAGACTGCCCGTCTGGAGTCCACATTTTGAGCAGCAGGGGTCTGACACATTGTGGTTCTTTAGTTTCCACAGAGATTATTGAGACGCAGAAAGATGTATACTTTAACATTAGTGGCTTCAGCCTCTTATGTTAAAGAAGGGAAACAAAGACGATGGGAATCTTTTAATTTCAGCCTTGATTAACATCAGGATAACAGAGAAAAGTTAAGACAGAAGATGGAGCCCCCCTCATACAGAAATTTTAAGAAAAGTGTAAGTAAAAAATATCTATTCCACAGCTCTAAGACCACTCTCCTCCAGACCAGACATATTAAAAGAGAGATGTAGAAAGAGAAGTTTCCTGATAAGGCCACTTTAAGATCTCTGAAGCACCTGTTCAATTCCTTCTTTCAATCTGTCTCTGTCTCTCTTTTTCTCTTCTTTCTTATTTGGTCCCTTTTTTCTTTTTCTTTTCTTTCTTTTTTTTTTTTTTTTTGAGGTGCTATTCAGATTGCTTCAATCTTATTTGTATCAAAAAACTTTACACAGGCATATCTAGAAATATGTTCATATTATATTGCTATTCATTAATCTGTATCAATAAAGAAATTGTATAATACTTTGATATTCGTTCATTGCATTACAGAATGTTTTTTAAGTTGTGGGTTTTAAGTTCTAGAGGAGGAGTGAAGACAACAATACATATCTTAAAAACAAATTATTTTTGGATGTCTGTGTACGTGTGTATTCTCATTCAAGTGCCAAATAAATCCTGATTTTGTGCATTCAGCAAAAACAGAAAATAAGGAGACATAGACCAAGACTTAATTTTGCCCTTTTCGCAGAGCCTTTTTTTTTTTTTTTTTTTTTTTTTTTTTTAGTGCTGACAATGGCAGAGCTTTTCTGCCTCTGGAACAACACCCCTTTGTGAGCTGATACTCTTACATCTGTTGTGTCTGATTGCCCTGTGTTGGCACTAATTGGTTGAGCACTTCCTGTAAGTCAGAAATCATGCTGGTATTTTATGTATATTAATTTTCATAGGCCTCACCCCTCCCCAGTTTTTGCTGCAGGCATTTTTACCCCTAGTGAGATGAGTAGAATGAGGCTTGCAGTATGTTAGCAAATCCAAGCCATACCTGGGTCATGTAGGGTAGTGAAACCAGACTTTGAACCCCATGAGCGAACAAACCTTGTACTTGTAGAAGAGGAGAGGATAAACATTTGATATCTGTAAGGAGTCTGCTTCATCCTACAAGTGAAATGTAAATTTGGTGGGGATTTGTTCTCTATTTACAATGCTATTGCAAACATTATACCATAGTTCTTCCTTTGCCCGTTATTTACAATAACTGTAATTTAATATCATCTCAAGAGGTAACATTAAACTATATAGAATCCCCAAGATTAAAGAAAAATATGCTTTGATTTTATTTCTAATTCTTCTTGGGGGCTGAGAATTTGAACTATTCTGAGTTTTATGGGTATCCTATATATGTTCGTGGACATAAAATTAATTCCCTGTGTCTCAAGGGTAGCACAGACATAAAAAGGCCAATTACAATTTTATGAATAGGAAATATAAGATCTGGGGCTTCGATTTTCTCTATTGTTGCATTCTAAATAACAGCACTATTTGTAGGGAATACTTACATCCTTTCTGACACAAAACAACTAGGAACTTTCATTAGAGAAAAATCAAAGCAGATGCAGTGTGAGTCCCCATCTAGTGTAAGTAATGTTAAAATAGATTCCAAACTGGTGTCTTGTTTTGATGAACACTCAGAAGACAATTTGGAGACTGTTTGTCAGACTCTAGAGACTGAGGCACAGATGGAGTTCTGAATTAAGTGACTTTGTATTCTGAGATTTGAAAAGAACTCTAGTCCCAATTGTATATTTCAATGACTGTGAACTAATTGGATGTGGTAATTGATTATTAAAGGATTTACATTCTTAAAATTGTAAGGTTCATAAATAGTAATTTATATATTTATAACAAAATTCAAGATGTAAACTTTATCTTCACATTAATATATATAGACAGAATTGCATGAACCATATTCGGGTTTGATTGGTCACAAAATACCCTGGATTTGTGAATTTTCCATAAAGTGGAAGAAAATTCCTTGAGATATCAAACACTGAAATATTTTAACTAGTTTAATATGTAAAATAACGAAATTTAGCACTTATTTCCCTGTTGCACCAAGTGGTTTTGTATTGAATGCAATTTAGACTCTTTTGGTTGACCAAAATATATCCTGAATGCTAATTCATTCAACAAATGTTTGTCTAATAACTACGTAATGCATATCCACAATGTGCCAGAGTCTGTTCTTATTTTATCAGCACAAAACACGTCTCTGCCTTTGGGGGGAGACAAACAACCTACATAATAAATGTATGTGTGTGGGAAAGTGGTCTCTATTGGAGGGTCAAGGAGGCTAGAGGTCCCACCATAGGGTGGTCACGAGAAACCTTCCTGAGCAAATAGTGTTTAAAGGAGTTGGCCATCCCAAGCAGAAGTAATTGCAAAGGCTCTGAGGCAGGAGCATATCATGCTTGACCATGGCAAGCACACAGGTGTGGCTGCAGAGGAAACATTGTAAGGAGAGAGGTCTGATCTCTCCTGGTCATGATCCAGCATTTGTGAAAAGTCCTCACTGTCTTTGATGAGGAAGACGGAGGGAGGCATTGCGTTTTGCTAAAATGTGAATGTTTGTTTGCTTTAAACTTCTCTTGTGTTCTCGTGAATACTCTCATTATGTGCAAGAATATTTATGCATAACTGGGCACCCAGAAGGGTCAGGTCTGGTGGAGACTAAGGGGGCAGAGAGGGTCAGTGAGGGAGCAGAGCAAGACCAGGCTGTGCTTCATGTGTGCTGACACAGGGGTCAGAAGCGAAGAGCCGCCACACCCAGGTTACACCTCCCTCTATAGAATCAGATGACATTCTCTCCTTTCTTATGAGGCTTAACTCAGAGCATCATGCACTTTGTCCTTTATCACTCAGTCATCCAGGTGTCTGGCCGAGGGCAGCGAGGAAGAGGCGCATGCCGCTGAGAGCTGAGCCTGGGGCCATCTGGAGCCGGATGGCGCGGAGGGGCTGGTGGCACGGAGTCGTATAAATAAAAATACTTTTAATTAGAGAAAAAAAAAATGACACATCTATTAGACGGTATGACCAGTTCAAAGAGGATTCCAGGACCACACACTGATAGTCAAATAGGGAAGGCTGAAATTCATTTATCATGCTCACTTTTGATTTTTCTGGTTTAGCAGATGCATCTAAAACCAAAGATAAACTTAACTTTCCTATGTTAAAACAACTTGATGTACGTGAACCACATTTTCTTAGATGTCTGCCTTGACTGTGAATATACCTCTTTTGTCTTCTAGAAGAAAATTCTTACATTTCCTTGGTGATTATAGCTTCCTTTTTTACAAACCATTCTTCTTTAAATTACTATAGGAATAGCTGACATGTAAGTACCTTCATGTCCGAAGACTGTCAAGCACTGTACAGACACTGTGTCCCTTCACCTACGTAGTGTCCCGATGGGATGAATGCTACCAACACTCTCCTGCTTTTATGGGTCAGGAAAACAAGACCCTACAGTGTCCACATGTTGGGACATGTGGTAAGTGTCACATCTATAAATGAAGCTCACATTGCCAACTTCCTAAGGTTTATTCTATATCCTCAGAAACACCACCCTAAACAGTTACAGTTTATGGGATCTGGCGAGCATCCAGTATCCTCTGAACACCTTATCGAACGTGGATGAGGTGGGGCAGGCCAGGAGAAGTAGAGGAATGCTGAGAACATGGTTCCAGGCTGTGCCTTCTGCTTTTAACAAAAATATTTGGAGAATTAGAAATACAAGGTAAGGTAGGCAAGAACTTAGAAAGATGAGTTAACAAGTTTGACTTGCTTCTGTAAACTGTAGAGAATTAAAAAGGCTTTCAGGAGGCAAGTGACCTTGTTCATTAGAATAAATTTAAAATAAATAATATTAGAGCTCCTGTTCTAATTAGGATAGGAAACAGAACAGTGGCAGGCTGATGACACACTAGGCATTCATTGTATCAAGTGTAGAAATAGGCTCGCTGATGGCCAGTTCACGTATGATAGAAACTGATTAGGTTGCACGTTTCTTGGCTATGCCTATTTGTTCTTTCTCCTTTTCATTGTGATGTTGAAATGTATTCAGATTTCCCATAAGTGAGGATGAAAAAATGTTGACATGTTCAATTTTTCATTTCTCTTTCTTTTCTTCTCTTTTCTTCTCTTTCCTCCTCCTCCTCCTCCTTCTTTTTTAAATATGGAACGCCTCCTAAATTTGCATGTCATCCTTGCACGGGGGCCATGCTGATCTTCCCTGTATCTTTCCAAATTTAGTATAGTGCTGTGGAAGTGAGCACACACATTTTTCTTTTAATGGTAAATTAATTCTATAGATCTACAAAGATCTCTCATGCATACCAGTTAAGTTATTTAGGAGAACAGAGGGAGCCTGCGTGCACACATATGCCGCCTCACCCTGACAAACTAGAAGTTGCCAACTATCAGATGGGAGGAGAACCCTAAACTCACAAATTAGGAATTTCTTCTCTCTCTTGAGGCACCTCAGTCAGTTAAGCATCTGACTATCAATATTGGCTCAGGTCATGATCTCAGTTTGTGAGATGGAGCCCCGTATTGGGCTCTGCACTGACAGCACAGAGCCTGATTGGGATTCTCTCTCTCCCTTTCTCTCTGGCCCTCCCTAGCTCCCACTCTCAATCTCAAAATAAATAAATAAATATTCAAAATAAAAGACATTTCTTCCATATCTTAGTGTACAGGTTAGAATAAAATAGTGTTTATCAGATTTGACTTATTTAAAATATATTTATTTATACATAGATTAATTTATACGTAGGTGTATTTATACATAGGTTATATTTAACTTACCATTGAATGTCTGTGTGTGTTCCTAACATGTTAAAATTGATTGAATAACATGCCCCAGAAGAGAATTTGTATTTGTACACATGCTTTTCAAAACATATTTTACTTGCCTTCAACCACCTTTATTACTTAAAAGCCGTACTTTCTAAATCCTAGATGACTTCGTTGGATAACATCAATGTAGTTAACTAATTTAGCATGCAAATTAGTTTTAAAATTTCTCTAATGATTCATTGGTTGTGAGCTGTCATTTTAGGGAAATAATTATAACTTCCACTTTTAAATATTTGATAATTTACTAGCTTTCTATTGCCACTGTAACAAATTACTGCAGATGTAGTGGTTTAATGTACCATTACAGTTCTAAATACCAGAAATCTGCACTAGGTCTTCTGAGGCTTACATTAAAGATTGTGTTCTTTCTGTTGTCTCTAAGGAAGGTTCTGTTCCAGACTTTTCCAGCTTCTAGAGGCTGCCTACTTTCTATCATCACAACTCCTCTGACTTCCCCTCCCCCCCAATTTATAAAGACACATGGAATTACAGTGGGCCCACTAGATAATCCAGATTAATCTCATTTCAAAGTTCTTTTTTTTAAAGTTTATATATTTATTTTGAGAGAGAAAGAGAAGGAGGGAGCATGAGCAGGGGAAGGGCAGAGAGAGAGGAGAGAGAAAGAATCTCGGTGCAAGGCTCCATCTCACAAACCCTGAGATCATGACCTGAGCCAAAATCAAGAATTGAATATCCAGTTGACTGAGCCACCATGCGTCCCCTCATTTCAAAATTATTAATGTAATCACATCTTCATATTCCCTTTTACCATGTAAGGTAACATACTCACCAGTTTTGAGGATTAGAGCATGGAAACCTGTGGAGAAACTTTATTCTCTATCATAGTAGTGTTCTCTATTTTTATCATTTGTAGCACAACCTTTTATCTGTAATTTTAGAAAAAATATTCTGCACCAAATATAATAAGAATTAATTTTCCTTCAATATACTTTATGTAACTTTATAACAATATTTTTAATTTATAAAAGCTAGTGATTCCATGCCATGGAAATTAAATTTGAATGATGGATGAATTTTGAGTTGCCAATTTTAATTTGCTTGTTTCTTTATTCAATTACCATAGTTTATGTAGTTTTTAAGACATAAAATATAGCAATTTAGTTACTTTACTTTTCTAAAATGATGATGATGTTCTTGAGTTCATACCCTCTCCAACTCAGACAAGAAGGTATAATACTAGGTCAAATCTAATAAAACAGTTCCTAATTAACCTGATTAACCTGATTAACCTCAATTACCTAATATAAATGGATGCTTTTGCCAAGTGCCCTCTTGAGATCTCTTCCCAAGATTAATTAAAAGTTGAGCACCAGGTCTTTCCCATTCTTCCTAATAAGGTGGGTAGTCATTTGCCTCTTTCTTTGAACCAGCACTGGCTCTGAAACTGACTTTTCAAAATTGAATGGAATAGAAGTGATGCCAAGGGATTTTATGTCTACGCATCAAGAGAGTCATGGTTTTCATTGCTCCCTTCTTGGACCACTCCCTCCATGTGACAAGTGAATCTTGGTTGGGGTCCTTTGGGATGGCTGGAAGACATTGACCACATTGCTCTCAGCAGTTAGCAGAGGATCTTTAGTTTTTTTATATATAAACTTTATTATTTAGAGTTTTTCTAGGTTCACAGAAAAATTGAACAGGAAGTACAGAAATTTTTCACACACCCTCTCTCCCCCAACATGCACAACGTCCCTCCCCCACACGCAACATGTAACGCCAGGTAGCACAGTTGTTACAATCGACGAACCTATAGTGAAATGTCATTATCACCAAAATTCCGTAGGGATACTCGAGGTTGAGTTTTTAGGTTTCTATTCTTTCTTCACTGCAGGGATGGAAAGAAATGTTCATGTCCTCTGTTATACTGATTAGAAAACCCTTGACTCTGAGACTTTGCAGTTTCTTGTGCTCTATCATGTTTTTCTAATTACCTCGCCTCTCTTCTTCTCTGTTCATCATGAGCCTTTTTTTTAAATTCTCTTCTCCTAAAATCTAATGTTTTATGTAAGAACACTTGACCTTTGGTGTATGTGTTTTTTACTGAACTTCATTCTCCTCTTTAGTATTCAGTTTAAGGAGCAACCATTCAAGGATTACTTATTATTTGGCTATAACTTCTCAGGATATGTTCATATCTATCATCTTAAAATGCCTCAGATGAGAAGACCACAGAAATAGTCTCAATAATGAGGTACATCTGGAGGGTAAATAAGAAGATTCAAAGTCACTGCAGAAAGATCATCAATGCTATTATTACCTTGGCTAAAAAGAAGAAAATAAATATCAGTGCAAATCAAGCTCCCCAAAGGCAACAATTGTTTATAAGCTAAAGACATATGTATAGACATCTCTCTATGAATGCATATGCCGTAATATTACTTTATATAGAAGGAAATATACTATATATGTTTTTGCTTCTAACTTTCTTTATTCACATAATAAGATAGAGTTGAGATTTATGTCAGTGTTTAATAAGTTTTGTAAAGACTATGTAGTTTTCATTTACAAAGGTGTACCTTCGTTTACGTAGCCATGATGGAGTATTAAGATATCTTTGTATTTTTATTGTTATAAATATATTTAAATGAACATCTTTTTAACCATAAATTTGTTTACTACTGAAGCATATGTAAAATATATTACCTTAGCTCTTAGACTCACTTTTGCATAGAGATATTAAGATTTATTTAAGTAAAATTGATATAAGTTGCCCACTTTATAGATAGGATTTTTTCATATTGACCTTGAATTTAATTATTTTTTGGATTTCATTATTTTAATATTATAAATACAATTGATATAGGTATGTAGTGAACAGATAGATCAATAGATTGATACTTCAATAGACTGATAGATTGATTGATAGAAAAAAATAATTTTCATATGATTTTTCAGGTCTAATTTATATTCCCCAATTCTATCATATACTTTCCCTTATGAGAGTCAAAGATGCCTGTAATAGTAAAATAAGAAAGAACTGATAGGTCTTATATAAATACAAATACATGAATTGTAGTAATAGTAGATGCTCTCTGTGTTGAATCCAATTTATTCTATTGTTAAAATTTGAACTAAATATTAAAATAATTTTAGTTATCCTAAAATTATATCATTTCTTTATCCTCACATGGAGTATAGAGAATGATAGTTTTCCTTTAACCTGATTCTCCATTGCTTTACTTCTTGCCACTTAAGAGAAAACCTAGAGAAAAACTAACATGACATTTTTCCAAAACCTCTTTAACCATAACTTAATTTGGGTTCTCATCAATAAAAGAAAAGATACAGAGTTCTCAAAGCTCTTTTTGTTACTTTATAATACAGAAAAAGAAACACATGTATGAAAATAACTTTCTCATATGGCTATAAGGATCCATCTAGGGTGGCAGAGTTTTATAATTTTGTTGTTCATGAACAGAAGTCACAGAAATTTGGAATAAAAAAAGCATAATTATAAACAATGCTGGTCAAGTTGCCGTTGTCAATTTTAAAAGAGAGAGTTACAATTTGAGAATGGAAATTATTAAAGAAAGAAGAAAAATCATTACCTCCATACCTTCAATTGTCACCAACCCTACTTAATTATTGGCAGATTTTATTGAATTTTTTGAATGTTTTATTTATTTCTCAGAGAGAGAGAGAGCATGAGCAGGGGAGGGTCAGAGAGAGAGGGAGATACAGAATCTGAAACAGGCTCCAGGCTCTGAGCGGGCTGTCAGCACAGAGCCCAACGTGGGACTCGAACCCACACACTGCGAGATCATAACCTGAGCTACCCAGGTGCCCCATTTAGCAGATTTTAAAAATATTTAGGAAGTCAAACGTGTAACCTGTTGATTGAATCTATTCATAAGCAGTAGAAGCAAACTGCAAACTCTAGGTTAATTGTATTTAAATTCTAAGACCTACTGCAAAGCATAAAAGACATATCAGTTTCTCCCCAGGACTTAGACCAGAGCTTGGAATAGGGTGAGTTTGCATAGATCTCTCTTGTTAACAGGGCTGCTCTTCAGATAATGCAGAGCACTTTAGTCAACAGGAAAGGCAGAACCTATTGCTTTGGAGACGTGATTTCTCCTGGAAATGGATGATAAATCACAATCATATAAACTGAGGGAAGACATAACAGATATATCAGCTGCATAATAATTATCATGGCAAGAAGAACCTATTGCATTCGCAAGATTAGAGCTAACAAGTTTTTCAGAGTGTACAATAAATCAGTTTTGAAAATGCCAAGTCAAATCAGGTGTGCTAAGCTATTAAGTAGTATTTGGTTTACAACAAAACCAGAAACTGAGTTATAGAATTTGCTTTAGACACTTCATTTGCAAAGTACATAAGAAATGCTAACAGGTATGGCATATTTGCATATGCAGCAATTTTATGTGCTCC